ACTGTTGATGTCTTCCATTTCTTATAAGGACATCAATATTGCTAGATAAGGGCACTAACCTTATGAGCTCATTTAATCTTACTTCCTTGAAGATCTTAGCTCCAAATACAGTCATAGTGAAGGCTAAGACCTCAACAAAAGAATTTGGGGGGGGGGGGGCATGGGGAGGCACACAAGCCATTTCAGTCATTTTCTGGGGAAAGTCACTCAATCTTTTTTTCTACATCTGTAAAATAGGGTTATACTAGGAGCTATTCATGAGCTATACATGAGCTCTTCATGGAGGGCTTAGTAGTGTCTTAGGCCTAGTAAGTGCTGGATAAAACTTGGCTGTAATCAGCAGAGATAATAGTAGGTAAAGGACTTAAAGATGAGTAAGTCTTCTCTAAGAGAAGGGAAGATACAGAGTCCTGAGAACAGACTACATAGAAGCCTCAAGCCAGTTTCCAGAACATTCCACCTAGACAGTGGTTATACAGGACAATAGTATGTATTAGGTAAGGATTTTTTCTTTCCCTTTGAGGATTTTCAAACAGTTCTGAAATCTTCTGCACTTACTTCTCAGTGTTCAATCCAACACACCTATGGAGGCAGCTTGCTTCTTTCAGTTGTAAACTCAGAACTGTGCACCTGGCTCTGTACTCCACTATCAACTAGGCTCCTCTGAGCAAGGACAGGGTTCCTCTTTCCCACTGCCTTTGGCAGCCTTTGTCCAGAATCCTTTGTTTAAGAGCATTCATTGCTATCCCCCAGTGCCTGTTCAGCTCTTTCAGGAGATGGAATGCAAATAAGGCTCCAGGTGGCCTGCCCTGTCCCCAGAGTTCCCAGACAGCACTAACGCATTCATCAAGAACATTTAGTGAGTCTACTCCCCTCCAAAATTTGGAGCGATCCCTCAGACTATAATAGAGCCTACTAAGTCCAGTGTTTTGCCGTTATGTTGCATTGCCATTCAAATATTTTTCTTCCTAAAGGAATTTCCTTCTCAGTATATTTTTATTGATTCAGTGCCCTCTTACCCTTTATGAAAATAACTAGCATCTTGAGTAAGAAGCCTTTGGATTTGTTTTGAGGCAGGATCTCACTATGTAGCCCAGGCTGGCCTCAAATTTGTGGTCCTCCTGACTCAGCCTCCTGAGTACTAGGATTACAGGTATGTGCTAACATGCCCAGCCAGTCTTTGAGTCCAGTCATCCAACCATCCCTGCATGAGTAGAGGTTTTGAAGTTGATCCAGACTAGTACTGTCCCTACTCTTATAACAGAGCTTACAACTCAGCAGAGAAGGCCAGGCAAAGACCAGAGACAGCTTAGTTAGGGCTTCTCAGAAGAAACTCGTGCTATATAGTGACCAAAACGATGAGGAGAATTATGCAAGAAAAGGAATGAGGGAAGGGAGATAATAAAATGAGATAAAATGCTTTGCAAACTGTGTAAGTGAAGGGGGTGGGGGGGTAGATTTACTGTTGCTAAACCTGCATCCATCCCTTGCTCTGCCCCAGATCTTCCTTCAATTGAACCCCCATCTCAACTCCTTTGTTAGAGCAACCTTCTTTTACTCTGTGTAACTCCTGTTCTACAGGTATTTACTATATTAAGTATGAGGACTCTTACAGGTCCCAGTATCCCATAATCCCCTTTGGGGACATGTCTCTAGTGATCAAAGACGTTTCACTAGGTCCCAACTCTTGCAGCTTCCATCACCTTCCTACAGCACCAGGCTGAAGGCTAACTCTTTAACACATGGGCCTTTGGAGGAATATTCCAGATCCAAACAACAGAGTTATGATAGGAGTTCTTTCTGAGATTTTTGGTAAAAAATACATTTAACATCACTACTCAGAATACACACACATTATGGCAACATTAACTGGTCTAGTGGCATAGACTTATAATCCTAGATATTTAGGAGACTAAATCAAGAGGATTGAAAGTTTAAGTACTGCTTGAGCTACTGAGCAAGTTCAATACCATCCTAAGCAACTTAGTGAGACCCAATGTCAAAATTTTAAAAGTTAAGAAAGAAAACCCCAAAACCCAACAGACTGTGTATATAGCTCAGTGGTAGAGTGCTTGCTTAGAATGGGGGGGGGTGAGTTGGGGGGGCATGCCACCATAAATTTGTGTTTTCAGAAAGCTTCTTTGAGACAGGGTCTCACTTTGTAGCCCTGGCTGGCCTGGAACTCCTTGAACTCACAGATTCACCTGCTTCTGCATCCGGCATCCTGGGGTCAAAGGCATATGCCACCATGACTGGCCAAGATTATTCTTTTTTAAAAAAAATTTTTATTATTTTTATTTTATGTGTATGAGTATATTGCCTGCATGTATGTAAGTGCATCTGTGTTGCGCAATCAGATTCCCTGGAACTGGAGCTACGGACGGACGGTTGTTAGTCACCATGTGGCTGTGGGGAATCAAACCTGGGTCCTCTGCAAAGAGCATTCAGTGCTCTTAACCGCTGAGCCATCTCTCCAGCCCCAAGATTATTCTTATTGCATGTGATATAGTAGGTATTTTATATTTTAAATTCTGAACAGTATTCCTTAAGGCAGTGAGCATTAATGAGTCACAGAATCAAATGACTGGGCTATAATGGGCGCTTTAAAAACAGAACCATCTATTGAAAACAGAATGAGAGGTAATAGAGAAAAGTGGGGATACATGTAGTCAATGTTTTTGAGTTGAATTTTACATAACTTATCTTGAACTTGATTCTAAGCTTTCCTTTTTCTTGGATTATTTGTATTTTGTTAATATGAAACTATACACAAATCATTGATTCTGACTGTGGATTACGGAGTATAGTTTCAAGTCTTGTGCCTGCTACCCAGCAACCTATACGGCATGGCACCTGACCTGGTCTCCTGCAATCCTGTTTTCCCAGTGGGTAAGATGGGGACAATTACGGTACTTACACAGTTTCAAGGATTAAATGAGATAATAGAGTGCCTGGCATAAAATACACAGGAAACATTAGGCATTCTATTTCTTTACTTCTAGGAGACCAAGGCATGCATTCACATCATACACACACAAATAAGCTTGTGGCATCATAGAAAACAAAAACAAAAACAAAAAACAATGAAATGATAATAGTTTGAGATACTATCTTTCATAGGCAAAATTATCCCATACTAAAAACATTTCACACACTATTTCCACTCTAAAAAATTACATATGACATTTGCCTGTGAGAGAATCTCAGGTATTAGCTAAAAGGTCACTTCTGAAAATTCTTATTTTAGGGACTGGAGCGATATCCCAGTGGTTAAGAGCACTGGCTGCCCTTGCAGAGGATTTGGGTTCAGTTCTTGGCACCCACATGGTGGCTGACAACCATCTCTTAACTCCAGTTCCAGGGAATCACACTTCTTTTGGCCTCTGCAAGCACCAGGAACACATATGGTGCACATACATACATAGAGGCAAATGCTCACAGACATTTAAAAAATCCTATTTTGGGCAATGATATAAAATGCTCTTGTAAGCATGTAAATAATGAAATAAAAATGGTATCTTAAAATTATTTAAGTAAAAATATAAATATCACATTTAAAAACATGAGGACCTTTCTTAAAGTGCTGTTTTCTGTACTGCTGCTGCACAAAAGAAAAACCTTGTTAAAATTCTCATGTACAGACTTTATAAAATTTTTTAAAATTTTATTATTTTTATTTTATGTGTATGCATGTATTGCCTGCATGTAGGTAAGTGCACCCATGTCATGCAGTGCCCTCAGAGAGCAGAAGAGGATGTTGGATCCCCTGGGGCCGGAGTTACCAACAGTTGTTAGCTGCCATGTGGGTGCTGGGATTCGAAACTGGGTCTTCTGCAAGAACAACCAGTGTTCTTAACTGCTGAGCCATCTCTCCAGCCCAAGACTTACAAATTTATTTTACATTATCTAACAATTAAAACATTCTACGACATGCACAAAAAACGAACTATGCACAAAAAACGAACCATGGAAGTAATTTTCTTGGGACATTTTATTTTCTGAGGCAGGGGCCCGTTGGTCCACTGTCCTGGAACTCACTCTGCAGACCAGGAACTTGAAGCAATCCTCCTGCCTCAGCTTACAAGTTTTATTTACAAGCTCGTATCTCCAGTTAAAGGATAGCAATTCCTCCATCATCACTCTCCCAGTGAAGAGCGTAAATAAATCATTGTTTTAGGTTTTATGTACACTGGAGCTGTCTGGCAAAATCCAGGACCTGGCTACTTGCCAAATAAGTTTTTTAAAGTGATCCTTGCTATTTTCAATACTTCCTCTTTAGGAGCTATTTTTGCTTCAAGTCATTTTATTTTTACTCCAGGACAGTTTGAGCCTCTTTTTTAATTCATAAGTTTAATTTTTTTCTGCTTGTAAGAGTAAGATAAGAATCCTACAAAAATCAAGGTTCTGTGGCCAATTCTCTGCCTTCACTTGTCCTTCTTCAGAGCCCAGGTGTACACCAGGGTTCCGTCATCTTGGGGAAGGCTGGAAAGTTTACACAAACTATATACTCAGAACACTACTTGTTAAACCTAACTAAGGTGAACGGTGACCTGTTAAAGGGCTTCCTGGAGCCGAAAAAGGAACTCCACTAGGAACACAGGGTGCTTTGGTCAAGCTCAGGACTGCAGGTGGCGCCGGGGTAGGACGGGGCAGCTCGGAGGCAGCTGGGAGTAGTGAGTCGGAGCCGGAAGGGCGGGTCCTAGCTGGACATGGGCGGGGCAGGGAGCAAGAGGGGCCTGCCCTGGTCTGGCCTAGAGTGGCGTGGCCTGCGCTTGATGGGCGAGTCTAGCTGGGCAAGGAAGGGGACCGCCTGGCGGGGCGGGGTCGTAGCGCGGCTGACGCAAGGGCCCATGGGAGAACTGTCCCCGTGACCTGCCCAGAGGCGCTTCTAGGCTTCTGGCCAAGAGCAAATGGTTCCACACATGTAGAACTTTTAGTGAACATGTGAGGCAAGGAAAGCCATGTCTATGGGAGAATTACATAAGAACCATTTCGTCCCGTCCCAGCCTCAGGCGATAGCTTGTTTAACGTGTTCTCAGAGGCTTCTTCGCCTCAGGTTCTGTGGCAAGGAGGTGACTGGCCACCGCCCAGACGCGCCAGCCTGCGAAGCCCGAGGGCACGCGGCAGCCGAGTACGCCTGCGCGGGGCCTTGGCGGAGCGGGGCGTCGCCCACCGCGCGTTGGGGGCGGAGCCTCGGCCGGAGCTCGCGCTCGCCGCTGACCTCCGCAAACGCCGGCCCGTGACGTCACCTCGCCGTGACGCGCGCTCTGTAGGAAAACTGTAAGTTTGCAGGGATACCTGCAGCTGCCTGGCTTGCGGGTCATGCGGGGCCTGGCGGCTGCAGAACCCAGGGAGACCGGCAGCTGCGGAGAGCGATGCAGCGGCCGGCCTCCGCCCGAGTGAGCGTGCGGGAGGCCAGGCCCCGCGGGGCCCGGAAGAGCTGGGAGCCGGCCGTGGAGGCCTAGGAGCTGGGGACTGCCGAGGGCTGTATACAATTCCCAGATAAAGGGATTGGATTCTTGCCAGGCCTGCTGTTGACAAGTTCAGCCTGGGATGGAATGCCCCTTCAGAAACCAGAAACCCCGTGTTCCGCCTTCCTTTGGGCTCCTGCAAGTGCCCAAATTGCTGAGGACGGTTATAAGAGAAACCAATTACCTTTTTGTGTTCAATGAAGGGAAGGTCACGTCTTCCACCCCCTCACCCCCAAGTCTTCCTTAATTGCCCTTCCCGTGAGGCCACAACGTTTTGACAACCTGTGGGATGACTCCAGTGTGCAGTGCTACAGAAAGCTTATAAAAACATGGGTTATTCTGAGGAATGTGCTGTTCATTTGTAGGTAGTGATCTGTCTCAGATCCTGCCTCCTCCCAACACCCTCGACCCCAACCCATCTGATCATGACATTTGAGCCCAAAGGTACATCAGCTATTATCTGGGAACTTGACTAATCAGAGATCAAGAAATAACCGATACATTAACACAGTGATCTTGGCAATAATACATTGTTCTCTTTGTCTGTCTTGGATTTGTAGAACAAGTGTTTAGCAGCCTGGAACTAGTAGTCTATACTCCACACAAATGCATGGAGTTTTAGGATTTGTTGCTGTGTCAACTTGGGATACCCAGTCAAGTTGTCTCATTGAATAGTTTAGCTAACTCTTGCCAAGAGTTAGTACATTATTGATGAATTAGTTCTACAGAATAACTTCTCAAAATATGGGACAAGTACTTGTCAGGAACTTTGAAGGGCCTATTTTATACGTGCCCTAATACAGTAGATCAAGAGATCACATTTCTGTAAACTTAGTGTAAGGGTGTAATATCCTTCCATCTTTGAGGGAAGAGACCTTTGAATCAAAGCATGGCTTCTGAGTTTGTTTCCAAAGACAGATTCCCCCAGACTTGGAATTTTGTCACCAAAATGGAGATGATGGCATAGCTATTGTTGCTTTTTTAAGGGTCACATGAGACTATGAATGTAAGCACACGTGACTTTCTAAGTATGATATTAGATTTTCCTAAACCCCACCCTGGATGAGATGTGTGTGTTCAGAAGTCAGGTTCTGAGTCGGAACTAGAAATAGAGCAGCAAAGGCAAAGAAGAGCATCCCAGTCCCCACCCCAGCAGAGTCCACATTACAGCGGGGAAGTAAACCACAGGAATAAATACACGAAATCATTTCACATACAGATGAGTACAGTGGAGTAAAGGATGGTAAGAGAATGGTGGGGCAACTGAAGGTTTTAGGATCTGTCAGGGAAGCCATTCAAAGCAGGGGACAGTTGAGTTTGAAGAGCTTGCATAAAACAGCTCAGGTGCTGAGCTGGTCACAAAGGCCTGTAATTTCAGCTCCTCTGGAGCTGGTGTAGGAGGAGCCCATGTTCAAGGACTGCCTGGGCTACAGAATGAGTTCAGGGTTAGCCTGGGTAGAAATAAGACTGGGGATAGAGCCCTGGTCCTGGATTCAAACCTCAGTTGGGGTTAGATGAGGTGGGAAATAGTATAATTATCTTTTACGTAGAGCTTACCACATGCATGGCACACTTTAAACACTTCTAACATTTTATTTTTTGGTATTTTTGGGACAGGGTCTCCCTGTAGCCCCAGCTGGCCTGGAACTCATTATGTAAATCAGGTTGGCCTTGATCTCGGGCTTCCTGCCTCTGCCTCCCAAGCTCTGGGATTAAAGGCCTGTGCCACCACGCCTGGCACAACAACCTTTTAAGGTAAGAAAAAATTCCATTTTTACAGATGAGGAAATTGGCACACGTTAGAGGTGTACTCAAGCTAAAATATGGTCAAGAGAGTATTAGAATTTAGGCCATCTGATTTCAGAGGCTATGCTCCAAATAATTATTCTCTGTAAGGAAGGTGGTGGCATGTGACCTTGAAGCACTTGCGAGACTCTGTAGGGTCCTTAGAGTCTGTGTTAAGTAAAGATGTTACTCAAGTGTGATGGAAAAGCCGTAAGAAAATTTGCATCATAGGAATGGCATCTGATTTTAACTGATTTATGGAGAATGAACTGTAGAGTCATGGGATGGTGGAGGTGGAGTGACAGTGAGGAACTAGGAGGCCATGCTGTGCTGTGCCCTGAGGGGTGAGATGGTATGGTACCTTAGGCTAGTGGAGGTAGCTGTGAAGATGACATTACGTGGGGGAATTCCTAGTCTACTTACAGGACGTACTGGTGGGAGGTGAGGGAAAGGGAGGAATAATAACTTCTTGTGTTTAGAGTGGAAGAACTAGAGTACTGGTGTGTTATCTGAGTTCAGAGGACCTGGAGAATGTGGTTTGAGAGGAAAAATATGAATACAGTTTTGGACCACTTTTAGATGCTTGTTAGAGATAGTAATATGTGCTAGTAGCAACAACAACAAGTATGATGTATCTGGGAAGTATAATCCAGGCAGGGTTTTAAGTGTCTTTATATATATTAATTTAATATATATTAAATCGTATGTGATGTTTTACAGATGAGGAAACTGAGGCACAGGGAACTGCCCTAAGTCACCAGTAGGGTGAGGCCTCTATTTCATTACTGTATCTCAAGTCTCCAGCTATTGTCCATGAGTTTGTGAGCCATGGAGCTTCACACCCCAGCAGCATGGCTTTGGAGTCCATGCACATTAAGCTCTGTAACTACCTCCGTGTGGACATGTTGCATATGTATAAATATGAGTGTGGTCAGGGTTGGAAAGATACATTTGTATTTCTGAAGAGAGAGATGGTTTTTGTTCCTTTTCTAAGCCTTGGTTGGTAACAAAAGAAAGGAGAAAAACATACATAGTAAGATTATGCTAGCTGGTTTTTCTTAATTGATTGGGTTTATGTGGCCAAATCTGTTGTCCCTTCCATCTCCACAGTGTGGGTTCTATGTGAGTAAAAGTTTGCCTTATACCCTGTCTCTAGTCCTTATCCATCTCCTGTCATGCATAGCTCTTGAGGATGACTTTTATGAAGGGTATTTGGTTAGGTTTGGAAAATTTAGGAATGAATAAGCATAGCTCTCTTTCTGGAGGAACAGTAGGAGGAAAGCCTGTGGTAATAAAATTAGAGTAGACTAATGCTAAACCATTTCATCTGGTTTTCCATGCCCCCTTACTCCCTGCCCCATAACTTGAGAGATTGGGGCATGAAAAGGGCAAAGCAGCAGAAGAATGCCTAAGCAATTGCATGATGAATTTGAAGCTCCCTGAGAGCCCTTTCCAACAAGAGAATTACTCAGCATCTTGCATATTTTACTAAATTTTCATTAGTTTTATTTGGAACTGATATAATTTTTAACAAATGAAATAAATTCTGATATTTGACTGTCATTATGGCTTTTCCCAGTTCTATTACCTCAGTGTTGTCAGGGCTCACTAGTAAAATAAAAGTTGGCTTGAAATGTTTCTCCTTGCATAATAGAGGGCAATGAAGGGGCCCCTGTGTGAAGTATTTGGCAGGTTTCCACTGTGGATATGTGTATCATACCAAAGTTCCTCACATTAGTATTTGAAGTCTCTGTTGGTCAGCTCCTTAAGATACAAACATGAGTGCATGCGCGTGCGCACACGCACACACACACACTCACTCACTAACTTTGGGCTTGTGGTAGCACAGTACATCATGTTGGGAATTGTGGTGGAGGAGGTCCTACAAGTTCAAGAACCAAAGCCTAGTCACCAAGCCTTCAGCATAGGAGCCTTTAGGAGCTATCTAAGATCCTCATCATAATACTTGCCTGTCTCCCTCCCTCCCTCTCAATTTAATGTTTTAGTGATGCAGGTAGTAGTTTTAAGTGGCATAGACCTGATTGGAACAAGATTATGTTTTACTGCTTTTAGTTTATTGGATAACAGTTAATTTGATTCATTTATTTCATGGAAACATGGAAAAAAGTTCTTGAAACTCATCGTAATCGTTTTTAATACTTTTTTTTTTTTTTTTTTTTGCCAGTATGGCTACTGGTTTGGGGTTTGCTTTTTACTGTGAAAATATTTTTTTTTACTACAAAAATCATTTAATTTGGACATTATGCAATCCTGGATTGTAGCAGGTTTGCTACTGTCTTAGTTTGTTTCTTCATTGCTGTGATAAAGTACTCTGACCACTACCAACTTGGGTAGGAAAGGGTTTATTTAGCTTACATCTCCCGGGTCACAGTTCATCCAGGAGCCCAAGGTAGGAACTCAGGGCAGGAAACTGGAGGCAGGAGCTGGAACACAGGCCAGGGAGGAATGCTGCTTACTGGCTTGTTCCCCTGGTCCCTGCTCAGCCTTCTTTCTTATGCAACACAGGCCTACCTGCCCAGGGATGACACCACCCACAGTGGGCTGGGCCCTCCCACATGACTCAACAATCAAGAAAAATGCCCCACAGACATGGCCATAGGCCGTCCGATGGAGGAAATTCCCCAATTGAGGCTTCCTCAACCCAGGTGTGTAAAGTTGACACTAAAGCTATCCAGCACAGCTAGTATGGATTTCTTTCACTTTAAATACATGCTAAATAGCTGTCTCACAATTACACATTTGCTGACTTCAGAAATCGTTTCTGTGTTGATTTCACATGCTATTTGTCACAGCACCCTGTAAAATGTGTAGGGGATACATTGTTTTCATTATTTGACAGATAAGAAAATAGATGTAGGTCAGATGATTTTTTTCCTTTTGTGTCAGAACACGGTAGTGACAAAAGCAAATCTTGAACTTGGAGTTATGTCTTAACACCTAGGATTGCTGTAAAGTTATCTATTACTGTTACCCTGTTTAATCTTCCTAAGAATCCTGTGAAAT